TGCCTTAAACGTGCTACTTTTCTGTTAAAAAGAGCTTAAAATCATACCTCTTATCGTCAAATACACAAACCGAAGGCTATAAACTATCCAAAATCAAGGCATATGGCTTAAAAATATTCCTTACCAGTGGCGCAAGGTCAAAGGCAGAGGGTTGTTTTAACGACGTCTAACGCAGATCCTAGAATTCTTAAAGGGACTGGGTCCTAGGATTTTTGAAGGAACTGGGTCCTAGGATCAATCCGGAATCTGAGTCCTATATAGCTCTCATGTGATTTAAGGATCGAGTCCTTACCAATCCTTGAAAGGATTGGTAAGGACCGATTAGGATTCGATCCCAAAGGACCGATTAACATCCCTATTAAAGGTATTAGGAATCCAATATTTAAAGCTTAGACTTCCAAGTTTATTGATGGCTAGACAGCGATCGTATTTTGAACGATCCATTTTTTGTCTTCTATTTTTTTGATATTTATGTGGTCTCAACAATTTTTTCAAGGCTTGACGTGACAGAAATGAAAAAGTTAATGAAGTATTCGAAGCATATTGTAAGAAAAATTTTTTTTTGAAAAAAACTATGTATATATACATGGGTATTAATTTGCAAATCAAACGAAAAATTAAACCCTTGCTTATAGTTAAGATGAGGTTTGGGATTGGGTGGGTGTTAGTTTATACCAAAATTTTGCAAGAAATTTTTTTTGTTAGAAACCAGAAGGTGGTTCATAATCGAAATTTTAAGAAACAACAATATCCCCGTGTATATGTTAGACATCACTTTCAAATTTCTGTCAATTAAAAATTGACATACGTAGCTTCGAAATTGCGAATTAAAGTATACTTCATATTTTAATCAGTATCGGTATGATTTTATTTATTAAAAAATAAAAAATAAAAAAATTCGCAACGCAAGCAAATTATTTTATATTTAACTTATTATGATTGTTAAAATCCACATGTTGAAGATTAAACAACTGCTAAGCACTATATGATTTTTGCATGTACTGTACCTCGGCGAATGCAACCACAACAAAAGTACAAAAAGCATTATTCTTATGACAAGACAACTCCTACTTTCACAATTTGGTTTATTACAATAACAGCCATCATTTTTCTTTAAACCTTGTTCAGTTTCTTGGTTGGATGTTTCATTTGTAACATTTAGTGGTCAGGTTAAGTTTTGTTGAGCACCAGCATTTCGTAAAGAAATAAATTTGCCCATTGAAATTACATCAAGTTCAAGAAATTCATCAGTACCAATTCGTTTGCTGAAAACCATCTATCCAAAATTTCAAAACTGCTTCCAACTTGATATGAGTCGCAATACTCGTCTATCCATTTTTAGCCTATCAATATCTTCATTACGAGATCACCAGGTTCAAATTTAACACACGTTTTTTTTAGGTTTATATCGTTTTTCCATTAAGATTATAAATCATTTGACGGTTCTGAATAACATGTCGATTTGCTACCACGATTATGTTTATCAGATTTAACATTCAGTCTATCGATACTTCCAACTTTAATTAATTCAAAGATATTAAGAACCCAATATTTTAAGTTCGAATTTTCATGTTTACTTGGACGCGTTTCGTAAAATAGCCAGGCAACGATTATACTTTAACCGATTCATCATATGTCTTTCGTTGTTCATGTAATCATTAGCGATTTTTTTGAATGAAAACTAAACTAGCGAAGAATTTGAAGCCATATTATGGAAGATAAAATAACAAAGAATTTTTTTTTTTTTATAATCATTCTAATTTATTAAACTCTTATATTAAACTTGAGTTTAATTGACGTACGTACGTACGTACGTTACATATTAATCAGTATAATTTTTAAAACTACGTATGTTACATTTTAATTGGTATAAATTTTAAACTAAGTACGTACGTTAATTTTGAATTAACGGTTATTTAAGAGCAGCGTACAACATATTCACGGACTTACGGGACCCAAAACCTTTATGCAGATCCAACTAAATCAACAGGAGGAAACGTTGAAGTTACACAACTGATTTTCACACGGTGTGAAATACATAAAAAAATTATTTTACAATACTTGATCGGGCTTGGTCAGTCAGCTAGTACATGTTACGATTATAATCCAACATCAGTTTTTATTATAAAAAAATGATGTTGGATTATAATCGTAACATGTACTAGCTGACTGACCAAGTCCGATCAAGTATTGTAAAATAATTTTTTTATGTGTTTCACACCGCGTGAAAAATCAGTTGTGTAATTTCAACGTTTCCTCCTGTTAACTAAATCGATAATTCATCGTAGAAAGTTTTAGACCTGATTTTCATCCGTGTAACCTAAAGATCTGAGTTTTCGTACATGAAAGTGATTGTTCTCTGACCTTAAAGCAATAATTCTCTACGATTTCAAACCACTTATTAAATCAATGAAACTGAATGATATATCTATAAATGATCGCGGAGAAGCTTATTATGAAGAAGCGCTTATGAACTTAAATGAATCATTGAATGAAGGAATGAAGGAAGGTGTTGATAACATATATGAATCACGTAAAATAGAGAATACAATCATGAAAGGCATTGATCTTGAGTATTCGATGAGCAACCTACTGCAAACTCTGTATATGTGAAAGAGGATTTGAAGAAAATTCATTGAAAGTTGAATCAAATTACATTTGCATTAGGAAAACGCGGAGAAGTATATTATAAGTCGAAAAAAATATGAATATCACTTACTAACCTAAACAATTCATTAAAATTAAATCAGACTATGTGTCTTCGTGGATTAATTTATCGTTTAATATTAGACATTTGAATATTATCGCTGATTCAAAAGCTTTGTATTATCTGCACCTAATTATGGAAATCGATTGCATCGATGTCTTTTTTAGGGGTATACCCAAAGTTCTGAAGCTTATAATGAACAATCATAAAGATTAGTTAACAATTATTGATACCGACACAATACTTTTTCTATGTTAAGTTTTTGTTACTATAGAAAATAATTTATCTTCTATAGTACATTAATAAAACCTAGTCACACAAACTTTTTCGGGATCACATGTTAAAACTTAAATTTAAATTAAATTAATTAATTTCCCGACAATTATCATTAAAAATTTTTGGTACTACTATAAAAACGATCTCTTAAGATTATTTAAATTCATAATCAAGTGTGTAGAATATTGTAATATCTACATATTTTAATTATTAATTGAAAGTAAGTTGAATTCATGCAATTATTCAACTGATCATTCAATGACAAACCGACCTTCCACTACCCGAAAATATCAAAGCACTTCAACAAATAGTGATAACACTTTTAACATAGCTGTTTTTCAATATTTATTGCTTATTTATCTCATATAAAGGCTAAAAAAAAATTATTAGGTGCTTCTTAAAATTAGCTTTATTACCTTAATATTAGTTTTTGTCATCTTTGTTTAATTCGTCTTTAGAATTTTATTTGACAAAGCCAAAATAAATTTGTTTTTGTTAATAACAAAATTTCTAACTACTGTAGCATAATCTATGGTCATAAAGTATAAAGTATTACTTCAAATTTAATTTAAATTTTTTAAAATTTTTAAAATAACAGATAACATTTTTAACAAAAAAAATTACTGTTCGGAATAATTAAATTCAATATTATTTAGGAGAATCCTTATCATCAATAATGGCCCATCCAATCACAGGAGACACGACAGATTCGCCACTGAGATTTTTAAGAATTTCCTGATTAGTTCCAACAAATTTCAATGGAGGAGTATCATCAGTGGTAAATGTAACTCCTATTATGCCATCTGGAAAATCATCACTATCTACAAAATTTGAATGTAAAGCAGTTCCTGCACGCCATCCTGTAATATTAGTTTCTCCGGTGAATTTAGAAAAATTTATCAAATCCGGCTCAAAATTACAGGTTCAAGTCGATCAGCCAAAAATCTAATTCAAAATTTAAGTTTTTGAATTTAATGGCTTTTTTTGAAACTTTGTCCAATCTTCGAGTATACCTTAAAGTGTAACTTTTGGAATTCCACAACAGCAAACTAACTTATAATTAAAGTAAGGTTTACCATATCTAACAACACGGTACGACTTACAGTTAATGCCTTTTTTATTGTTCGGAGGACCTTTGTATAAGTGTCTACTTCATTCAAGTTGAAGTCAACAGATCGAAAAGATGGATACTCCGGTCACGGCTAGTGCAGGAGAATTAATTCCACACGTGTAGAATTAATTCTACAATCGGTCAACATTCCACAATTGTTGAATTGATCATTAAAAATTTTAGTACGTACGTACGTAATTCTACAATTCTATATGCGTAACTATGTAGAATTGACGTAATTTCTACAATTCCACAATTAATCGATTGTAGGATTAATTCTACACATGTGGAATTAATTATCCTGCATCACTAGTCACGGCCTGCTACTGTGCAGACTTAGATACCAGCCGAAACCGGTATTTCAGTTTTGACCGAATTGAGAAGATAATAGCTGACGGGCGCGTGAGAGAATTCAAATGAGTACAATTACAATACAATAATCAGTTACATGCTTGGGAATTCTATAAATAATGCGAGCGCATGTAATAATAATAATCTCATTGACAGACCTAATATAAAATAGCAAACACAAATATCGATATAAGTAACAGGCCGAGACGGCCAGAAACGGCAAAGGCAACCTGAGAAATCTGCAATAATTATTGTGCTGGGACTCGCTGTAGCCAGTGATTTCCCGCTTTGCTGACGCAAGTCGGCTGCGAACAGAGAATATATGGGGAACGCAAACGGAAAAATGGTAGGTCATGTGGTCGTCCATTGGAGAATTTCTTTATCTAGTTTTTTGGACCAAGTTTTCTGTATCTCCAGTCAACGCTATCTATATGTCATTGTTCTTTCTCCTTTCATATGGGCATGAGACTATGCGTTGTCTGGGCGTAGCTGGCATATGTCGTTTTATCATTTGCATATGATTTGTCGCCTTCAATTAGTTTCCTTTTGCGAATTGGCGACTCCGGCTTTGTTCACTCCGCATTAGTTACTATCAGTAGAAAATTCTAGACCTAATTTTCATTCGTGTAACCTAAAGATCTGAAAAACTTTTTACTGTATGTACGTACTATATATGAAAGTTATTGTTCTCTAACTTAAAGCAATAATTCTCTACGATGTCGAAACATAAAAAGAGAGAAGTTCAAGGTATTTACATTTATATGTACACAAGTAAGATATACATTCTTCGTAGGCATCCGAACTCATTTAGCAAAAAAATTGTGCCCAATCAGGATACTCCAACTAAATATTGGTACATCTTTGAAAGGTAAAGGCAAGTCTAAGGAAGAAGAATTACCAATAGAAAGAGAACCGTCTACAGGTATGGTTTGTACCTTGCACATCTTTTTATAAGAAAACAACACATTTATATAATAATAGTTTCTATGGAAGATATTGAGCATACCAAAGTTCAAGAAGTTATTTCAACAACTCCAAGCAGCGAAGAAATCAATAATTGGACTCCTGAACATGTTATTGAATTTCTGAAGTTCAAAAAAGAGAACAGGGGTTACGTATTAATAATCAAGATATCAAAATAATTGAGAATAATCGGGTCGATGGAAGCTCATTTCTTAGTCTAACTGAAGAAAAACTCCTAAAGCATCCATTTAATCTTGTTGATGGTCAGGCATATGAAATCGCACGTCTGATTAAACTTCTTAAAGGTAAAGAAGGTAATTAATATGATCTAGATTATTGTAACAAATATATAAAACGATTACAGCTAGAATACTAACTTGTTTTAAACAAATTTTACAAATAATTTATGAAACATTATCCTTATTGATATGAAATAGGTCAAATATATCAAACATTAGGTACGTAATATCAATTAAATAATAATTTGTTTAATTTATTTTATTTATTTATTTTTAGATCCTAGCAGTTTGCATGAGATTGTAAAAAATGCCGTGGTTGAAGCAAATAAGGAAAAATCATTTGAACTGATTAGTATATCGAAACTAAGCTTGACTAAAATGAACAAAATTGAAAAGGCTATGGGCTTAAGTTCTATATCTGTATGTATAATGATTTTTTCCAAATAAATAATTTCTAATATTAATTAATATTATCTTTTTCACTAAAGATAGCCGGCAAAGATTTCCCAGATCCTTCTTCATACATAGAATGCAATGGATTTAAATGGGATATGAACAAGGATGAAGACAAACAAATGCAAGATGTCAAAGACTGGTTTAAAATTGAATTAAATTTAGGAGAAGATTATACTGTTGAAGATGTTCATAAAGACACAAAAAATGAAGTAACTTTAAATAAAGCTTATACCATATTACGGGGTGGATTTGATATCAGTATTGGTCCAAGTTCATCGGGATGTGTCTATATAGAAACGAAAAAACCATTCTAAGAATTAAAATCTGAAGGATATCAAGTTAAAGGAAAATTACTTATTGCGAATGCAAACATTGGATTAGATGTATTGATCGTACTGACTGACTGTAATGAAAAGTGGTCTCTTTTTTTTATAATCAAAGAGGAAGAGCAATATTTCATAGTAATTGCAAAAATTGATGACCGTGGAAAAGCATTAGGTATAATCAATGATTTCGTTCTTGAACAGGGTGTCAAATTTAATAAAATATTAGGAACAAATCTAAGAGCTGTCGAAAACGATGAGATAAAGATTGGCCCATTATCAAAAAAGGCGAAATACATAGAAGTTGTTGAATTTTGTGATGAAAGAATGCTTGACATTATTCCAGATATGACAGATGATGAATTAAAGCGAATGAATACTAGGTGGAGACTAAGGATGCTTGAAAAATCAATTCCTATCAATGAAAAACCTATTATACAACGCTACATATCAGCATTTAGTGATGATTATGAAAATTATGAGACCTCATAAAAAATTAAATTGTTTTTCCATACATAATTCTCATTTCGAAAATAGTATAATTAGTAGATGTATTGAATTTGATACAATAAAGTGGACCAATTATATTTGTGTTAAGAAATTCTTAATCAGTTAAAAAGAAAAGATTTAATTTTTATTTACTAACAACGCAAAACAAGATAAATTTATAACCTTTGCAATATACTTATAATATTGGTATTTTTATAAGAAAAAATAGGGAATTTCGATCAGATTCTATGATGTGATTACAATTACTGATTCCAATAGTAGATACAATTTTCTGTCGTGGGTTATAACTATCAACTTAGAGCTTATGAAATCTTAATTAAAGCACGAAATTATCGCTTTTTGCAAAAATGATTCATTCATCCAATATTATTATATATTTGTTCAGAAAGAATATACTAAAGTGTAAAATAATTTAATTATATAAAAATTGGTTTAATAAATCAATAGAGATGTCGAAAAACACCCATTAATAAGGTAAATCTGTTTTACTGAGAAATCCTGATTATCGAATTTCAACATCATCTTTGGCAATAAATAAAGAAAAATAAAATTATAACTATAAAAATTCTAGCTACTATCGATATCTAATATTATACAAAAACAGTTTAAAAAAACCTACCTTGGTTTTGTAAAATCAAAGTAGCAAACAAAGCATAAAATGTATGCCAAAAAGTGGGCACATAATATAAAAGATATAATTATGTACAGTAAAGATTATCATGCCAAATTACAAAACGTTAAATATATAATCAAAATAAAAATGAATTTCATATAAAGAACTTCATTTGTCAAATATGGTGCACGATTATATTTACACCACTTATATGGAATTACACTCTAATTTAATTATGTTTCTGGTATGTCAATATGAAGAATCTCTTGAAAAATATCCCAAGATAAAAAGTACATTAAGGTGAACATATGAAGGTTTTGATAAGTCATTAGTGGTTTGAAAGAAATAATGTAGATTATAATACGCCAAATTTCAAGAAGCGCTCGATGATTTTGATAAATAATTAGAGATTGAACCAAATAAAGTAAAATTTTTACAATTACCAGGAAAATTCATTATCGCTTAGGTAAATTTGAAATGTAGCTTGCCAAAATATTAGAACTCGAACTGAGTAATATTGATGTGTTGTATAAAAAAGCACGTAATGATATTAGTAAATTACTTGATCTTGAACCAAACAATATAAGAGTGTCACTCACGAGAGAAGATTGTAATAAACTTTCATGCGGACACAAAGAAGCGCTTATGATATGAATAGATTATTAGGAATTAAACAGAATAATTCATGTAATATTTCTTCAGAGTGTAACATATAAGAAAATATGATGATTCGCTTGCAGATTAGAACAAAGAACCAAAGGATGTACATTAAAGAGTTGAATAAGCGTTTGTAGTTTGTCAGATCAATGGAAATTGAACTGAAATGATATATCTACATGCGGAGAAGCTTATTGCATGATAAAAGCGTGCGATGAAGCACTTAAAGATTTATTGTGGGTTGCAAAATTTTGATTTCTTAAAATTACTCTAACAAGAAATCGTTAAAAATCGGCGATTTCTTTTTTTCGATGATCTGCAAATTTCACAAAATATTGCAAACCGCAATAAATACATTTCTAGCAATAGAACTGAATAATAATAGTGCAGAAACATGTGTAGCATACTATGCAATGGGAGGTATGAAGAAGCATTTATGAACTCAAATGAAATATTGAATGAAGGTATTTTGTATCAAATAAATTACGAAGGTGTCGATAACATAGATGAATCGCGTAGAATAGAGAAATAAAATCAGGGAAGGCATTGATCTTGAGGATTCTAGGAGAAGCCTATTGGCAACTCTGTATATTTGACAAAACACTCGAGGATTTAAAAAAGATCATTGAAAATTGAACCAAATAATACGTTTGCATTACAGCATTAGGAAAACATGAAGAAGTATATTGTAAGATGAAGTATATGAATATGCACTTACTGACTTAAATAATTAAATCAGACTTCGTGGATTAATTTATCGTTTAATGGGTAGACATTTGAAGATTTGTCCTGTTTTCAAAAATTCTGTATTTGATTAGCACCTAATTGTGGAAATCGATTGCATCGATGTCATTTTTTAGAGGTATACCCTACATCCCAATTTTTCAATGTTAAGTTTTTTGTTACTATAGAAAATAATTTATCTTCTATAGTAAATTAATAAAACCTAGTCACGCAAAATTTTTCAAGATCAAATGTTAAAACTTAATTTTGAAATTAAAAATTAATTTCCCAACAATTATCACTCAAATTTTTTGTTACTACTATAAAATTGCCTGAATTTAACAAACTGTTTAGAATTTAAGATTTTACCCGGATTTTTTTTATTAACATTTGATTATAACAAATAAATTCTTATATAGCCAATTTAGAAATAAATGACCTAAGATTTTGTATAGTGAAACTTAAGAATGCCATTTAATTAAAATTTAACTACAGTATAAAAATGTTGAGTATTCCATTTATTATTTCGGAAAGAATTAACAAAAGCTAAATTTTTTTATGATCGAATTTAGAAATAGTGCCCAAAATTTATAATAATAGTTTAAGGAAGTATTTTACTATAATAGTATGTACTTGTTTATGGCTTCTCCGATATGCTATATAATTAATATAATATCTATATTGGCCATATCGACCAATTTGCTTAACTCCTAAATTATCCTGTCATGATTTAGAATTACTTGTTAAAATTTATTGCAAAGATTTTATAAAAACGGTATAGAATATTGTAATATCTACATATTTTAATTATTAATTGAAAGTAAGTTTAAAAGAAAGTTTCCCTGAAAATTGCTTTCGAATTCATTCTTGCAATTATTCAACTGATCGTTAAATGACAAACCGACCTTCCACTACCCGAAAATGTCCGAAAATTTCAACAAATAGTGATAGTACTTTCTTTATAGTTTAGCATGGCTGTTTTTTTGATATTTATTGCTTATTTTTCTCATATAAAGAAAAAAATTTTTATTAGGCGCTTCGTTTGTTATTTTTCACGTCATTTAATAGTTTGTCGAAATAATGACCACTAAAAATCAAACCAATGTATATGCACATATCAACAAACCACAATAATAGACAATCCAGAATCTTAATTTTTTTTGATCATCATGAGCATAAGGTCACTAAGCGTTATAATTAGATTTATTCATAAAATCGGAAAAAAATCCGAGCAGTTAGATGATAAATCATTTAAAATTAGCTGGTTAGTTTTATTACCTTATTATTAGGTTTTGTTATCTTTGTTTAATTCGTCTTTAGAATTTTATTTGACAAAGCAAAAATAAATTTGCTTTTGTTAATAACAAAATTTCTAACTAGCATAATCTATGGTCATAAAGTATAAAGTATTCAAATTTAATTTAAATTTTTTAAAATTTTTAAAATAATAGATAACATTTTTAACGAAAAAATTACTATTCGGAATAATTAAATTCAATATTATTTAGGAGAATCCTTCTCATCAATAATGGCCCATCCAATCACAGGAGACACAACAGATTCGCCACTGAGATTTTCAAGAATTTCCTGATTAATTCCAACAAATCCTGCTGCAAATTTCAATGGATGAGTATCATCAGTGGTAAATGAAACTCCTATTATGCCATCTGGAAAATCATCACTATCTATAAAATTTGAATGTAAAGCAGTTCCTGCACGCCATCCCGTAATATTAGTTTCTCCACCAGAACTATACATTTGCATGCTAATAACCCTACCCCAAAAATCTTCGTCACTTCACCATGATAACTACTAATTTCAAAATTACATGTTCAAGTCGATCAGCCAAAAATCAAATTCTAATTTTAAGTTTCTGAATTTAATGGTTTTGTCCAATCTTTGAGTGTACCTTCAAGTGTAGCTTTTGGAATTCCACAACAGCAAACTAATTTATAATTAAAGTAAGCTTTTACCATATCTAACAACACGGTACGACTTGCAGTTAATACCTTTTTTATTGTTCGGAGGACCTTTGTATAAGTGTCTACTTCATTCAAGTTGAAGTCAACAGATCGAAAAGATGGATACTCCGGTCACGGCTAGTGATACAGGAGAATTAATTCCACACGTGTAGAATTAATTCTATAATCGGTCAATAATTCCACAATTGTGGAATTGATCATTAAAAATTTCTACAATTCTATATGCATAACTATGTAGAATTGACGTAATTCTACAATTCCATAATGTAGAAGTGTACAAGTGTACATTGTGGAATTGTAGAAATTAATGATCATCAATTCCACAATTAATCGATTGTAGAATTAATTCTACACATGGGGGCTATTCAGTAGAAAGGGGGGAGATCTTCTTTTTAATTCTGGTCAAATTGACCAGATTTAAAAAGGAGATCTCCCCCTTTTCTATTGAACAGCGCTCACATGTGGAATTAATTATCCTGCATCACTAGTAACGGCCTGCTGTGCAGACTTAGGTACCAGCCGAAACCGGTATTTCGGTTTTGATCGAATTGAGAAGATAATAGCTGACGGGCGCGTAAGAGAGTATATTTTAATCAGTCGTATGTTTGGGAACTCCATAATGGTAATCTCATTGACAGATCTAATATAAAATAGCAAACGCAAATATCGATATAAGTGACCGGCCGAGACGGCCAGAAACGGCAAAGACAACCCGTGAAATCTGCAATAATTATTGCCGCTGTAGTAGGGAGAAATGGTAGAATCACGTGGTCGTCCATTGGGTGAGTCGCGAGAATTGCTTGATCTAGTTTTTTGGGACCAAGTTTTCCGTATCTCCAGTTCACGCTATCTATGTGTGTGTCATTGTTCTTTCTCCTTTCATATGGGCGTGATGCTATGCGTCGTCTGGGCGTTGTTGACATATGTCATTGCATCATTTGCATATGATCTTTTGCTTTCAATCAGTTTCCTTTTGCGAATTAGCGACTCCAGCTTCGTTCGGTGGCTCTGTGGCGTTCATGTGTGATATCCTCGCTTTTCAATTACCATTAATTGCTATCCATAGAAAGTTCTAGACCTGATTTCATCCGTGTAACCTAAAGATCTGAAAAAAAATTTACTGTACGTACAGTATGCGTATGAAAATGATTGTTCCCTAGCCTTAAATTCTCTATGATGTCGAAACATAAAAAGAGAGAAGTTCAAGGTATTTACATTTATAGGTACACAATTATATACATTCTTTGTAGGCATTCCACACTAATTCAGTAACGTTCTATATACGTATGTATGGGTGCCACCAAGGGAAAACATGTCATTGGACTTTTAATTATATTCTATATACAGTTAACCGTCTTCGACGAAGAATCTAAGATTTTCCATAGACGGCTAATTGCACACAAAACATAAAGTCCGATGACAGGTTTATCTTGGCGGCTCTCATATATATATAAAAAACCCCTTTTATATATAAAACAGGTTTACAAAAAGAAGTGATCATATGACGGATAAAAAAGAGATACCCAATCAAAAGCACGATTTGTACAGAAACACTTCATATGCTGCTTAACCATGCACTCCGTTCCTGGTATCGCCCCATTTCAGCAACAAATTATTTACCAACAAGTTCATTTAACCGACATTTTATTTCACCGAAGCCCATTTCACCGACAAATTAATTCTGGTCATTGTCGTTAGGATTAGGGTAGATTAGGGTATAATTAGGGTTAAAGTTTGTGTGCTTTATAGAAAAAAACTTGTTGGCAAATGAGCTTCATAGAAATGAACTATCGGTAAAATGAACTTGTCGATGAATGATTTGTCGTTGAAATGTGGTGTCTATGAAGTGATTGTCGGTGAAATAATACGGACCCCTGGCGTTGTATGGTTTTGGTTTGCAAAGGAAATAGCGGATGTTCTATTATTATTGATGGGTCAATAAATCATGTGTTAGGACAATCCTTGCTGTTGCTAGGCAATAAAAATCATCGGCTTAGATTCAATGTAAAGTCGCGTCAGGAGTTTCAACAAGCATCAGGGGTTTCGTCAAGCGTCAGGGGTTTCGTCAAGCGTCAGGGCTACGTCAATCGTCAAGGGTTTAGTCTGACTTGCGTCTGACTAAACCCTGCGTCATCGTAAAATTCACTGCGTCAGGCATTATTAATTGTGTAAAACATTTTTTAATGGATTCAAATCAAACAATCATGATTTTTAAGATCGTGTTTTAAACATTTGCCGTCCCTATTGTAGATATGACATATACATGATACACGTTTTATTTAATCTAAGGTGTGTTGGTTCGCATAGTCCTAATAAAAGTTTTATCTAGATAAAGTCATATTCATTGAATCCAGTCCAATTGAAGTAATCAGATGCAATTGGTAAGCAGATTTGGATAAGAGTTGAATCTAATTGCTTTTTATTTTATATTTAAGTTAAAAAATCTAGCACATCATTTTGTTAAAAATTCAACGCTTGTATTCTATATATTTAAAAAAAAAAAAAATTTTAATTTATGTATAAATTTTTTTTTTTTTCTCTCTCTCTTTTTGAAATTTCCGCACTATTAAATTATTATATAAATTTTAAATTCAGCGCTATTTAAAATTTAGCGCTACTATATACATATATATTAAAATTCAGCCTATGATGTAATTAGATGTCCTGCGTCATATTTACTTTCTTTGTTAAGCTATGTTATACATATTGGCAAAACTATAAATTCTTGAAATCCCTCCCAAATTTCAAATCCTAAATATAATAAAATTGTTCCAAATTCCAAATCTCAATAGTTATGGCCTAGGACCTTCGTAACAATCTAAAGATTTAACAAAATTGTTTAACAAAATATTATTAGAAATAAAGATAAATAATTAAAATTATCAACTAATGATTGTTGATATAATTATAATCAAGCTTACACTTACTCGCTAATGATATTTCTTAGACCTAATAATTTAACAAAAGCATATTAAAACATGTATTATTAGAAATAAATAAGCATAATTTAAAAATATTAAATAATAATTTTAAAAGAATTATAATTAAGCTTACACATACATGCTAAAAAATTAACAAAAGCATTTGTAAAATTTGTATTAGAAATAAAAGCGCATAATTCAAAAATATGACATTTAAGTTTACACATACCATCTAATAATTTAACAAAAGCATTTATTAAAATATATATTATTAGAATAAAGGTGCGTAACAAAAAATATTAAATAATGATTAAGCTATACTTACGCTAATTATTTAAAAAAGTATTTATTGTAAAATAATATTAGAAATGACTTTAATAATAATTTAAAAATGGTTATAATCAAGCCTTACTTACAGGCTAAAAATTTTAATAAAAGCGTTTATCATTAAATTATCAGAAATAAGGATGAATAATTAAAATTATTAATTAATAATTGTAGAAATAATTATAATAAAACCTATACTTACCCACTAATAATTTAACGAAGGCATTTATTAAAATATATATTATTAAAAAAGGATGTCAATTTAAAATATAAATAAAGTTATAATTAAGTACTTACGCACTAATAATTTAATAAAAGCGTTATTAATTAATTATCAAAAATAAACATGAATAATTAAAATAGTCAATTAATAAATTTAGAAATAATTATAATTGAGCTATACTTACGCTCTATTAATATAATAAAAAGCATTTGTCAATATTATTTATATAAATTATTAAATTTTAATTTAGAAATAAATATGATTAAGCCTATACTTACAGCCTATTAATTTGACAAAAACGGTTATTAAATTATTTATTTTGAGAAATAAAGATACATGAATTATTAAATAACACATTAAAATCTTATAATTAAGGCTATGCTTACCCGCTAATAATTTAACAAAAACGTTTATTAAATTATTATTTTGAGAAATAGAGATATGTAAATTATTAAATAATACTTTAAAACCTTATAATTAAGACTATGCTTACCCGCTAATATTTAACAAAATATTCGTTAGAATGTATGTGATTAAGCACAAAAATGCACAACTTAAGAATTATTAAATAACTTAAAAAATATAATAAAGCTTACCACCTATTGATTCAACAAAACATTTGTCAAAATATATTTTATTAGACATATAACTTAGAAATTATCAATAAAATATCTTAGACTTACTTGCTGATAATTTAACGGAAGAATTTGGTAAATATGTTATTAAATATAAAAATTGCAAATTTAAATTTTAATAATTGTTTTATAAGTAATTAATAATTTCAAAATTAATAATAAAAATATAATGAATCTTATACTTACTACCCGCTAATAATTTAATAGAAGTATTGTTAAATATATAAATATGCAACAATTAAATCAACAAATAAATATTTCGGAAAAAATACAATAAAATTTTACATACTGTAAGCTAATAATTTAATAGAAGAATTGTTAAATATATTTATTAAAATAAAATCGAATAGTAAAATTTTATAAAATAATTATTGTAGAAATAATTATAATCAAGCTTATACTTACATACTAATAATTTGACAAAGTATTAATTAAAATATATAGAATTGAAAATAATCATGAGAAATTGTTAGATAAATATTTAAAAGTATTTATAATCAAGCCTATACTCACTCTCTAATAATTTAACAGATATTTGGTAAAATATAATTTATCAGATAAAAAAGATGCTTAATTTAAAATTAATAAGATAATATTGTAAAATCAAGCTTTACTTACGACCTAATAATTTAATGGAGTCATTTGTCAAAAATATGTTATTTGACATAATAATACATAATTAAAAAATTATCAATAATAATTTTAAAAATAAATCTAAAAATCTAATGCTTACCAGCTAAGAATTTATCAGAATTGTTTTTTAATATATATAAATATGCATCAATTAAAGTCATCAAATAATTTAAAGAATAAATATAATAGCTTATACTCACAAACTTTTTAATAAAAAAATGCGATAAATATTATCATTAGATATAATAATGCATG